GGGATTTCTTAAAGTTGCATTTTTTAATTTCTGTAACTAATATATGAGGAGTTTTTTAAATGTCTTGAGGGGAGGCAGGGGCAGGAGGGAGCCAGGCAAAGAAGTAATGGAGAGGCAATACTTTGCCCATGACTTATAACTCAAACCACAGTCAGCTGCTAGACCCCCTGTGTGACACTCGGGAATCGTGGCTCTCCTATCACTAATTTACCAGACAAAAGCATTCTCTGCATTGCAACACAGAGCCTTTTGTAGACCATCAGAAGAATCGATGGTTGAAACCCCCAGCCCTGAAGTACTCTGCAATCCAAGCTGGCAACCAACCAGCTGCTGTGGGATTTGCCCCTGGGAATGCCTTGCCTTTTGTGTCTTCCTTTGAGCTGTGGCCACATTTCACTTTGATTAGTCATGTTTCTTTTTTGGGGCTTTCTTCTTTTTGATTTGTGTTTATTTCTTTCTGGATTTTTGTGCCTTGTTCATCAGACACCGGTCTGTTGCAGTGTGACCTGCAGTCCTGGAGTAGGGGGAAACAACAAGAGTGTCCAGTATATGTGAGGAGCACTACAGGTGCTGACACTTGTGCCAACCTCCACATGTGCTTTGCCTGCCCTGTTCTACAGGTAGGAGGAAACCAGATGGTTTTGATGTGCATATACAAGTGACTGTCCTCACCTACTTCGATACTTTTAACAGGAAGATTGAAGCCTGTCAAGCAAACTCCTGGTTCTCTCAAGACTTAATTACTCACCAGTTTCTTCTGTGCTGGAGGGCTTGTTTGCCAAACAGCAAGTTTACAAGCAAAAGAAACATCAAGCTGCTTTTATTTTTCTGATCAAATCCAACTACCAAAGATGAGTTTCTACCCTGGCATTTATGCCAGGTCATACTACATCCAGTCACAGCTCTGCTGGTATGGAAGAGTACTTTAAGCACACAGAAAGAAAATCCCTTACAAAAGCAAACCACATGTTTTACATGTCTACTAGAAGGAAACGTTTAAAATCATCTATACAAGCACTGCTTTGGCCTCAAAAGGTGTTCTGGTATTAAAAATTTCATTACTCCATTTTGCAGGCTAGGGAAGTACAAGGATGACTTTTCAGCTCACCTTCTCCAAACCTGTGTGGTGATTAGATGGAACAAAATGGACCATCCAGGATGGACAGACTGGAGCAAGGAAACAGCACAGCAGTAGCCTTAAAACACAGCACACTGTGCACAGTAGTACCACGAGGCAGGGCAGGCAGCCGGGGCATGTAGAGCTCTCCATGAGCAGCCGGGCGAGTCTTGACATCCTGAAGGAGGTCTGTGATCAGTCTTCGCTTGTTGTGCCCCCGTTTCCCATAGCTCAGTGTAGGGTGCTCTGGGAAAGCCTGTCGTGTAAAGCCTGAAATTTCACAGAATTACAGAATTTCTAGGGTGGGAAGGGGCCTCTGGAGATCATCTAGTCCAACCCCCTGGCAAGGCAGGGTCACCTAGAGCAGGTCACACATCTACTTTGAGACAGAACTGAAACCAAATGGAAACGTTACCAGAACACATTCCCACTCACCCTATGCAAAGTCGCCAGAACGAGATGCTAACAGAGCACCTCCGCAATCACGCAGTTAGTTTATCAAGGCGCGGGACCCCAGCTCAGCTCTTCACCGAAGCACTTCCCTTTCGGTGAGCGGTGACCGAGCTCCTCCCCCCGCGCGGCGCGGGGCCGGCGGGAGCGGCGGCG